CTCAAACCACTTGTGGGACAAAAGTACAATATCTCTTTGTTAAGTGGATGTTTCCAAACTTATCAGTCAGTATAGCATCTTGTAGTGCCAGTTAATCACACTACTCCCTAGAAAAGTTTGATTCAAATTTCACTCAGTGTAGAAGCCTGAAAGAGACCAAATACAACTCTCTACCTTAGAAAAAGGAATTAAGAATGTTTTGCTTTATATAGTTATAACAATAAGTTTGTAATTCAATTGTGTAAAAGACACATGAAAGTACCACTTTCTTTCTATACATGTTTCCTATTATCAAATAATGTACCATAAATGGAAATCCATGCAAACATATTGATGCGAAAATAAATTAAGCTTAATAAAAAATACCTAATACAAAATAAAAATCAGATCTGGAGACTTACTGCATGCCACAATTTAGAGATTTTAGTCAAAAGCTTGCCTGAATTTAGCAAACATAAGCTGAATACCAGTGAAGAAAGATTATTTTTCCCAACACCAAAATTCCCATACAAAGCTGAAGATGTTGACTTGAACATAAATTAAGATGGACTAAAATACACATGCTGTTCTGGTGACAAGTAAATTTTAGAGTATAAAGCACTCTTGCAAGACATGAGACATGCTATTTATCCTAGAAATGTTTTATAGAGTCTGGAAAAACTAAACAAGACAATAGTTACATCAGAATATGATTTGCTGACCAGCAATAATTGGTATTCAAGAGAAAAAGCAGCTCAGGAAGGACAAATTGCAAAACACAAAGCACTCATATGACAGCATGAGAGGAAACACTTTTATGTCTAGATAATGACCATTAAACTTCTAGAATTAACAAAAAAGAAAAATTAAACTGTACTCAAAAATTATTTCATACTATTATGCTGATCTTGAATTTTTATTTTTAGTCTTTCTCTGGGCATGTCTAGAAATCTGTCATTATAATATTATACATTTTTCACCCCCCTATGATGCCAGCAACATACACTCTATGGAAGACTATATTGTGTGCTTAGGTAACCACTGGGAGATGAAATCTTATGTGTTAATTGTATGATCATTCCTCATTAGGCCAGCTAAAGGTCCGGTTTTCAACCTAAAGGAATCCTAGGTAGGCAGGCTGAACTTCAGAAACCACTGCTGTACTCACCAAGAGAGTTATTGAATCCAGTATTCACTTTAGTAGACAGCACAAGTAGCTGCATGATTCAGAGGTACAAAATGGTCATGTTCCAGAGTAAAGGCAGACTTAAGGACAATGGAAACCTGCATTTAAATAGCGGATCTTGCTCTTACTGAGCGAATCAGAGGAAAGTTATCTAACCTAAATTTTAGTTTTCCCACCCGCAAAATGGGAGCAAAAATATCTACTTTACAGTATTATTTTAAAGACTAAATGAGATAATATAAAGCACCTGGCATGAGTGCTATGTGCTCCAAGTCCTGGTTTTAAACCTTGACCAAAAAAACGCTCAAATATTATACCATTTCTATGTTTAAAAAGAAAAGAAAGAAGATATGATGTAGGGATAGATATAGCTGATCCCAATATGCACCTGTTGTAAGCAGGTAGAGTGATAAGACGGGAGGGAAGGGCCATAAATTCCCGTAACTTAAAGGCTTTAAACTCTAAAGGGGAAAAAAAAAAAAATTAGCTGCACCCATTAACACATCATGCACTTTAACTCACCTCATTGTTAAAGGATACCAAGAAAACAGATCTTCTTCCCACCTTCACTGAATAATAATCTACAACAAGTTCATACCATGTTTTAGGCAATGCTGAAACCAAAGAGTTCTTAAAACTAAAATAAACCATTGTTTTCATATATAAATTTGGTGACAAAATCAGTCCTGAACTTGAACTAGGTAGAAGATCTACTGTTTTTATTATTGAATTAAGTGTAAATATTTATGCATAAGTTTCATTTTGTGGTAAGATCCCAAATGATGTGATATACATGACATACTGCAGCAGCTTCTGAAGTACAAAGGATTCCAAATTCTAAAACACATGTAGCCCAAGGGTTTCAGATAAGGAAATCTGAACAATCTCTACTTAAGGGGAAAAATAAGGTAGAATAGATACATAATGAAAGAGGTAAATTGCCTAAGGCACAGACTTGTAGTTAAGAATTTTCTGTCCTTCTCAAGTCAGTATTTGCTTTAGAACCTTTGATTGTCCTATAATATAGAAATAATAACATTAATTACATCGCTGATTTCTTGGAGAAGAGATAGTTAATATACATAAAATGCTTGAAACAATGCCCAGCACTATTTCCAATAAATGCTGTATAATAGAAAAATAATTTGAACATTTAGTAGTGTGATGGTTTATCTTATATGTCATATGTCATGTTTATCTTATATGTCTTGACTGGGTTAAGTTATGCCAAAACAGCTGGTAAAACTGGGTGTGTCTATGAGGGTGTTTCCAGAGGAGACAAGCATTTGAATTCACTCCCCTCACCAATGGGTGCGGGCATCATCTGATCCATTGAGGCCTGAATAGAACAAAGCAGAGAAGGGCGAATTCTCTCTTCTAGAGCTGGGACATTCTGGCATCAAACATTGGTGCCCCTGGTCCTTAAGTCTTTGGGCTCAGAGTGGGACTTAATATCACTGACTCCCTTGGTTCTCAGGTCTTTGCATTTGGACTGAAATGACATCACAAGATTTCCTGGGCCTCCAGCTTTCAGACAGCAGATCATGGGACTTAGCCTCCATAATCACGTGAGCCAATTTCTCATAATAAATCTTTCCATGTATCTCTATCTAGGTATATCCTATTGGTTTTATTTCTTTGGATCACCCTGATTAATACACCAAGAACAGGCAAACAGGTAAATATAACATTAATGTACTATATACCATATTACATTTTGGAATTTTTTTTTTTTGAATCCAAGTTTTCTTTTTCCTACACCCAGAGAGATATTTCTACCATCAGAGATAGTACTGAGTATAAGTCATGAAGGGAGGAGGTAATCTCAGGTGAACAAACAAGCATTTGGAGCTGGTAGAGCATAATTAGACTTCAAGCTCTTAACTCAATAAAAATACTGTTTGGAAAGAAATGATCTACAAAAGACTGAGGGGTAGTGCAGAGGAATGCTTCTGGAATTTAACCTACAAGCAGCCCAGCCAGAGTCCTTGTTAAAATGCAGATTCTGATTGAATGGGGTGAGGCAAAGATTCTACTTTCAAGTACTCAGGTAATGGCAATGCTGCTGGTCTAAAGGCGCTCACTGAGTAGGAGGGCCACAGAGCAGTGATGCCAGCAGTGTACCAGCAGCAGCAGAATCTCCTGGGAAATTATGAGAAATACAAATTCTAGAAGATAAGGAAACTTGTGGAGCTTATTGACCTAAATCAGCTGTTTACACTAGACTAGTCAGATTATTTTTCTTAAGAATGAAAGAACAGTTTTTCAATACTTTAAAAATAAATGTAGCATACTAGAACCTGTTATCTAAATAAGAAAAACAATTTCTCTGCAATTTCCAAAGTCACAGTCCTTGCAATTATACTTAAAATGTAGCCTTTTACACTGTAAGCAGCCTGCTCTGATAATATATATGCAAAGTATTGCAATTCAGATGGACCACTTACTACTTGGTCACAAAACAGATCATTTCCATTTTTCCTAGGTGATACAGAAAAAGACTTGGTAAAGAAACCAACCTGAGTTTTATATTTCCTTGTGTTGAGAAAGTAACCAACCACATCACGGTTTAGCCAAACTTCTCCAGAGTAATGTTTACACATTGCTTGGTTGATATGTAATCATAGGTCAACCTTAATGGTCTGAAACAAAAATATGCTTGAAGGACAAAGAACTTGAGGGTAAACTGCAAATACAGTGTCATGATCAAAGAAAAGATTTCAATTTTCTGAATGTAAAGCCAATTGATTATAAAATAGGTTTTCCCAAAATTTTTAAATATATTGATGCATTCAAAATTTAGATTCAGTACCTTTTTCTACCTCAATAAAAGTTTGAATTTAGAAGTTCACCTCTCATTCAAAACCTAAGCACATAGTTCTATCCAAAATCTATTTTCAAAGAAGTCAGTTACTAAAATATTATAAAGCACTACACTTGTTTCAAGATTAGAGTGAACACCTCCAATCTTGCTAGGACTATATATTTAAAAATAGTGGTTCTCCATTAGGGCCAATTTTGTCTCCTAGAGGACATTTGGCAATGTTAGAAGACATTTTTGATTTTCACAACCAGGGGGAGGGGATAGAGGGATGGGTACTCCTGGTATCTAGTGAGTGGAGGTCAGATATGCTGCTAAACAACCTACAAATGCAGAAAACAGTCCCCAGGGCATAGAATTATCTGGTCTAAAATGTCAATATTGAATGTCCTTTGTACATCTTAATCACATTCTTAACACAATGTTAAGCACAATAACAAACACTTGATTATTAAATAAAATTATCTTTGTGTAGATGAGATCTTAGAGTTAAAGATATAAAAGTGGGTTATCACACATATGATATCCAAAATTACAGAATTGTAGTCATTGTCAGAACCAAAAGAAATTAAAAAATCCTCCCATCCAGTCAAATTTCTCTAACTTGGGAAGACAATGTTTCTCATATGGGAGATGCTATCTGATGTACTGAGATGACAGTGTTAAGGGGAAGAGTTTTCTTAATAGTAAAAATTAAATAAGACCTTTACAAATTTATTAAAATATCAGTTTTCACTGTTTTCTTTCTAATAGTACCAATGTCCCATATTCTTCTCAAGTTAATAAAGTATTTCCTCCATAAAAATTAAAAGCAATGTTACATCATAATAAGTGATATTTTATAAGCAGGAAACAAAATAAAATGTAATTATTTTTAAAATGCAAATCAGAGATCTTGTTGGCCTACAGGCGTTTATACTTCTGAGATTGCTGGGATTTAAACTGTCATGAGAAATTCTGAACTGGCTTACATTTTTGAAACACAGGAACCGACAGCCACAAGGCCAAACATACCCTTAATAATCGATTCGGCTGCATACAGATCTCGTTTGTAGGTCACCTAAAGGACAGATAAACCTCATTAGACTTAACAGAGCAGGAAGGAATGTGAAAGCAATAA